TAAGGTGAAAACAAAGGAAGCTGGACTTAAGCTTGGAAAACAGGAAAAGTTTATTATTAAGACAATAAAAGTCCTGATGAGTCAGGAATCTGAAGGCGCTCCGCTACGGAGCAGTCACGTGATTCTTCAGCACACACAAACAGGAAGTAAACAAACAGGAAGTCCCAAAAAATAGTCTCTGACGTCGGCAGATTTGTATACTACCAGTGACGTCATCACCAGGTCCGGAGGGGGGTGGGGGGGGGGATTCACAAACCCCGCCCTCAGTAAATAACCGGATGTGATTGTTCAAGTCTTCTCCGTGCACGTGTCTGCTGCGCGTGCACGGTGACCCCCCCCAGCCCCCACCCATGTTCCCCCCGTCCAGCACGTACCCTCCATCATCAGCACAGGCACGTGTTCCATGATCCAAACAGAACCAAAGGTCCCAGTAGGTCCGGTCTGATGGTCAGGGTTCGGTTCGGTCCGTCAGGCGCAGGGCAGGCTGTCCGGACCCCGCGGCAGGTCTCTGCAGTCCGGGGAGAACTGCAGCCTCCGAACCGCTTCCTTGATCAGATTTCCGGACAGAATGAGTTCCTGGAGCAGCCGGTGCGGGTCTTCCTCCTGGACCCGAACCGGGATCCGTTTCCTGTTCCACGGACCGATCTGATCCCAGTCCTGCCCCGCGTGGCTCGGTAGCTGGTAGGGGCTGCGGGTCCGGTGGTTCCCCCGCTGGGTCCGGATCTTTAGGCAGCAGCTGTGGGGATTCTGCTTCAGGTACGGGACCACCGGCGCCCCGCAGGGCCCGGGGCCGCTCCTCTGGTGGCCCCCCGGCGCTCCGTGGAGCTGGAGCGTCTCTCCGATCTTCGTGACCAGCGCGTCCACCTCCGCGGGGTCCACGGTCACGGACTGCTGCAGCACGAGGTAGTTCTCCTTCAAACACGGCATCTCTCTTTGGCTCGAGTCGAACCGGACGGAACCGGGCAGCTCTGCTCCGCTCACCGCACACAAACAAGCCGTTTGATTTGTAAACAATGGATGACGCGTCCGGACCGTACCATCTACTGCAGGGGGGGGAGGGGAACCCTGCAGGGCGCTGTAGGCGAAGCGGTGGGCTTTTTCTGGAGGGGGGAGGGGGTGTGTGGTCCGGAGGGCGGTCTACGCTTCATCTACATTAATCCACCAGAACCAAACCCCCACCCAGAACCGAGCCTTCACCCCTCCGCTCAACCTCAGATGGTTCAGTCCATCTAAACCAACATTACATAACTGCAGTCTGCTGCTGCTAGAATCATCTAAAACAACCGAACCTCATCAGAACATTTAAACATGAACCATCAGAACCAGTCTGACCCAAACCCCTGAATCCCTTCATCGGTTCTGACCCAAATTCACGAGCTTTTTTAACTTTAGGATCAAACAGCTTTTATTAAAGGAGATCAAAGAGGTTCTGCCAGCAGCACACTTGGTCTGATGGTTTGGGTCCAGAACCAGGTTCTGGACCGGGTCTCTTCAGGCCGGGTGGACGTGTGGAGCCTGTGTGTGTGTGTGTGTGTGAGTGAGAACATGTTGTTCAGGGTTTCTCAGAACCAGCCTGTCTGGCTGAACCCGTTGATCCCTCAGCCCTCCTCACCATATAAGGAGCTACTATCGGCACCACGTGGGTCTCCCGCAGCCAATCAGAAGCCTCCACTCTTGTTTTCCTCTCAGCGTGTGTTAGTGGATTCCCGTAGCAGCAAAGTGAAACAAACTGGCATGTCCCCTTCCTGAAACACCAGAACCAGGACTTAACTGGTTTTACACCTCCACAGTTTTCATCATCATCATCATCATCAT